CACATTAGGAGCATAGAGGATGACTATAGTGTAGGTGATATTATTAATTTCGCACACAATGATCAGGTATCTACCTTTGCTCTCAGACACTTAGGCTAACAGCGAGAATGCGACAGAATTGCGAACTGCTATAAGGACACCACATTTTTTATCAGGACCATTAGACATAAAAATATGTGGAAATAAGTGGTGTGAGCATCGTGGCATTTTAGTATTATTATTATTATTATACAGTATTTATAAAGCGCCAATAGTTTGCTCAGTGCTGTACATTACAAAGAGGGACAGAACATGTGACAGAACAATACCAATGCATTGCAAAACATGAGGGGATTGAGGGCCCTGCTCTTTCGAGCTTACAATCTAGGAGGGAGGGGATGGTGGCACAGGAGGAGATAGCTGTGGGGGATGGAGTGGTAGGAAGAGTGGAGGAGGTCGGCAAGTTAGCAGGGGGTGGGGTAGGCTTCCCTGAAGAGATGGGTTTTCAGGGTGCACCTAAAGGAGAGGAGATGCAAAATGGGTTTCTTGGACACAGACCACATCTCCAGCCAACCGTTGTGCTTCTCTCCACATAGAGTGGTGTTTGAACGGGCTATTAAATCTGTGGGCGTTCATAGAAATTATTTTCAAAACCATGATGGAGTTAGTTAAGATGAAGAAAGGTTGCCCTCATGTGTTATAATTAGGAAATGCATAGAGGTGTAGGTAAACCAAATGAGTAATCTTACATGGACGAAGGTATTCCAGTGGGGTATCGTCCACTCAAAGGGAAGGGAAGTCAATGTGTGATTATCCCATAATTTGCTGGTCAGGATGCTCTGTGAAAACAAATTTAAGAGAAGAGAGAGAAAAACTGATAAAGTAACAAACATAAAAGCGTGAAACTTTGTGTGAAATTAATCACTACAATGGATGGGGGGTTCAGAGCCGAGAAACGCAGCACATTAAATTGCAATCCAAGTGCACAGCGGGTAGGCAACGAAAAATTAGGAGGCATTGGGGAAACAGCTTCATGGCACATCAACCTGCCGCTTGTTCCCAGTCAGGGGTAATTTTCCTGGGTGAAGCCTTAGAAGACGCTGGTGTTTCATCTGTTGCTAGGAGGCCCCATTTTTGGGCTAACTGGAATCCCTCCTCTTCAGAGTTGACTGTAATCACACTGTTATCTTTAGTGATAAGCCATTTAGTAGGTAAACCCCACTGGTATTTGATGTTGTTGTGTAGCAATTTCGTGAAGGAGAGCAATTTTTTGAGGGCTAATATGGTATGCTGTGAAAGATCATGAATAAAGAGATCCCGGTATAGGGTGCAGGAAGCAGAGAATTTTTCCGCGCAAATAGCATTAATTCCTCCTTGACGTGATAAAAGTGAATTCTTGCTATTGTATCTCTGGGAATGTGGTTAGGGAGAAATGAGGGCTTAGGCAATCTATGGGCCCGATCCACCACCACCCCCCTGTTCGGAGTGCGTGGTAGCAATGCAGAGATCTTTTGTTGGATAGTTTTGCGGAGTTCCGCAGCAGGTATATTTTCGCCAATGTCCCTGAATTTCACATTGTTCCTGCAAGAACGGTCCTCCAAATCCGCTAATTTCACCTTTAAAGCTCCCACATCTTCTTCTGCCTCATTATGCGCGTCAACTAATTAGTTGTGGGCTTTAGCAAATTCGCCAATTTTAGATTCCGCTTGCGAGACTCGCTCCCCTAGACACTCAACATCCTTGTTAACTTGTGCTACAAATCCCATCATATCTTTATGCAGGGAGCCTTTTAGGGTACCGTATTTTTCGCTCCATAAGAAGCACTTTTTTCCCACCAAAAAAGGGGGGAAAATATCAGTGCGTCTTATGGAGTGAATATAAAGCGGCCGGTCCGGTATTTCCGCCGCCACCATGTCAGAATACCGGGCCAGCCACTCAGCTGATCTCTGCGGCAGGAACTCACCTGTTCCTCGGTCCAGTGCTGTAGTCTTCCCACGCCGGCTTCTTCCCGCCCCGGCATCTGTGACAGCCGGGTGCCCACTGTGCATGCACGAGAAGCGCTGCTCTTTGTGAATGGGCCGGCGCCTTCTGGGACACATGACAGGTCCCAGGAGACGACAGGGCCATTCACAAAGCGCAGCGCTTCTCGCGCATGTGCAGTGGGCAGCCGGCGCCCATAATACGGGAAGGAGAGCTCCGCGGAAGTGTCAAAGTCAGGTACCCGCTCCCCCTCCCTCCCTAAAGGTCCGCAGTGTCTGGTCATGCCCTGTACAGTCTGCAGTGTCTGGTCATCCCCTGTACTGTCTGCAGTCTCTGGTCATCCCCTGTACTGTCCGCAGTCTCTGGTCATCTCCTGTACTTTGTCCGCAGTCTCTGGTCATCTCCTGTACTATGTCCGCAGTCTCTGGTCATCTCCTGTACTGTGTCCGCAGTCTCTGGTCATCTCCTGTACTGTGTCCGCAGTCTCTGGTCATCTCCTGTACTGTGTCTGCAGTCCATTGGTTCAGAATATTTTTTTTCTTGTTTTTCTCCTCTAAAACCTAGGTGCGTCTTATGGTCAGGTGCGTCTTATGGAGCGAAAAATACTGTAATGAACCATTAGCCGCCCAGCCATAGGCCGTTTGGCGGCTTCAGAAGTGTCTCTCCACTCCAGGTGCACGCCATTTGGCGTGCTCCCGCACATGCGCCGTTTGCGCTAATGCAGAGCGGCGCAGCAGTGCGATCTGTCACCGGCCGTGCACCTCGGACACGGCCGATGACAGATCCGAGTACCAGCTCCCGTTGCTGGTACCATGTGACCTGCTGTGACCAATCACAGCAGGTCACATGACAGTTGTATACAATGGATGGCTTCATTCATGATGCCATCCATTGTATACTAGTGCCTAGCTGTGAATGGTCACAGCTAATCACATGCACATGTCATGTGATTAGCTGTGACCAAATCACAGCTAAGCACAAAAAAAAAAAAAAAAAGCTGAATGAATCGATTTCATTCAGGTAAATGCTTGCTTATAGCAAAGTAATTCTTTGCTATAAGCAAATTGTGTAAAAAAAAAAAAAAAAAAAATACTGATCACTTCTCCAAATTTTACTTTGGTCATAGTAAAATATGAAAAAAAAAATCTTAAAAAAAAAAAAAAAATGTAATAAAAAATTAAAATATAAAAAAAAAAATATATATATATATATTTTTTTTTTCATACTGTCACCAGTCAGTGTCCCTGTTCACTGCCATGCCAGTTATATGATGACACTGTACTGCACTGGTGACAGTATGTAAAAAAAAAAATAGTGAAAATAATTTTTTTAGTTTTTTCATTTTCCGAAAAATTATGACAAAAAAATACAACTTCAAAAAACTCGCCATGCCTCTTATGAAGTACGTCGGACTGTCTACTCTGCAAAAAGGGGTCATTTGGGGATATCTGTACTATTCTGACATTCTTGGACCTCAAGAAATTAGATTGGCTGTCAGTACTTCAGGATTGATCAATATTCAGATCTATACCATAGTTTGTGAACTCTATAACTTTCCTACAAACTAAAAAATACATCCTAATTTGGGTTATTTTCACCAAAGACATGTAGCAGAATACATCTCGGCCTAAATTTATGAAGAACAATTGTTTATTTGTAAACTTTTATAACAGAAACAAAGAAAAATGTGTTTTTTTTTCAAAATTTTTGGTCTTTTTTTGTTAATTTAGCAAAAAATAAAAACCCCAGCGGTGATTAAATACCACCAAAAGAAAGCTCTAGTTGTGTGAAGAAAATGATAAAATTTTAGTTTGGGTACAGTGTTGTATGACCGCGCAATTGTCATTCAAAGTGTGAGAGCGCTGAAACCTGAAAAATGGCCTGGGCAGGAAGGTGTAAAATTGCACGGTATTGAAACGGTTAACATATCCTTCATTACAGCCGCGGTAAAGGGTAAGGATTCTGCGGGGTAATCCTCAAGGTGTTCAATAAATTCACTAGTGGAATTGTGTGACACTGACTCTGCATTTAACTGTTCGCTTGGGGAGTGCACATCAGCAGAGCAGTATTGTCTTTGTTTTGTGGACTGTCAGAAGGAGATGACATTGAAGAGCCTGCAGCCACTGCTGGACTAAATGTGTGCAGGGGAGAGCTGTGTCCATCCCCCCTCACGTGTCCCTGTAGATTGGGAGAGAGACGGTGTCCAGCGCCATATTGGGGGGGAGGGGCCATCCGCCAGAGTAAAAAACTCTGTCAATTTGCGGGGTCCCTCCTTATTCTTTCATTTCCCCATGCTGCCTCCTATGTGCCCCCCTCACTCAGAGGGCTTACTGATGTGTTGGCGGGTTTATCCGCTGCCCCTCGTCGCTCATGCAGTCCGTGGATCCCAGCGGCTCTCGGAGCTCTCTTACAGAGCGGCCATCTCCATCCGCTGCCGGCCACGCCCCCCAATAAATGGGTTTATCAATGGGACTACAATTGTGTTCACTATAGAAACTATTTTGTTTAAATTGAATTCTTTATTGTGTTTTGGTTGAGAATACAAAAAATATACAGCTGCCATATGCCAGGGTCACAACTAGGGCATGAGAAGAGCATGTTGTAAAAATGTTTTGTTTTCCCCCAAAGGTGTTAACTTTTATGATTGCAATTATAATATTCACATAAGATATAAATGTAACTAGAAAATATACAATCAGGAGTGAAGATGATGCTACTATACATTTCTCAATATTTTCTGTGCTGGTCTAGGAGTTCATTAAAAGTGGACCTACATCACAGAAAAACTGGTTGATCTCAGAAAAACAGAAAGTTAGGTTCATTACTAAGTAGGATGGAATACAAGTACTTACTAATGAACCAAGCCACACTGCTACTATAAGCCGTATACAAAGACATTGACTCATGACAGCAGGATAATGTAGTGGGTAGCATATTGCTAAGTATCGATCCACAGACATTACTGCTAAAAGGAGAAATTCAGCTGTTTCAGCCACAAAGAAAAAATACAAATGTGTCAAGCAACAGGTTGAGAATATGATCTTCCTTTCTCTTGTAATATCCTTCAATAAGTTTGGAACTGTGGTGTTAACAAAGCAGAGATCAATAAAAGCTAAATTACACAAGAAGAAGTACATTGGCTTTTAAATTCTGCTGTTTATCAAGACCAAGAAAAGAATAATAAAATTCCTTACCATTGTTAAGATATAGCTCACCATGATCAGACAGAATACTGGGATAATTAAAAAAGGAAGTAAACAAAAACTCATTAGAACAAATTCATTGACAACTGTCATATTCTTTAACTCCATCATATGTCTACAAATATGGACAATGAAGTGGAGGTATGGATTTTAACCTGTAAGTAGTAAATCCAGACACAAAATCTGAAAGAAATAGACAAGAAAAATATTACAATCCATGATTACTTTTCATGCTTAAAAGTACTTTACACTATAGCCATATAAATAGTCTTACTGTCACGCTTATCCCTAATGCAAGTGCCTGGGCACTATAGCTGGCTTCTGTGTTCTTCACCTTTAGAAGCCCCCTTTCCCATAAGACAAGCAGGTCTTTTACACAATGCTATAGTGCCTGGCTGCCACGCTGGGGCAGGTGCGAACTGAGCACAACAAACATGTACTTGTGATTGGCAGATAGGCAGAGTGGTTCAATGAAAGTCAAGTTACAAGGCAGGCAAGATTCAAAGTAGTTGGTGTCAAATCTATAGTTAAAAGGCAGGCAGAGTTCAGAGAATAGTCCAAGTTCCAATCCAAGGTCATAAACAGGGGAATCCAGACATAAGAGCAGGGCAGACAAACAGGGAACTTGAAGCATGTGTTAAACACATTATCACAAGCATGAGACTGTAGGCTTGGCTGGCTTAAATCAGGTTTGGTCTCCACCCAGAGATTGGCCGCATTAATCAGCTTGCAGGAGGACAAGCAGACAGGGAGAATACATCACAGCCAAAACCAGGATGCTGGAATGAGACCACCAGCTGTCATGGAACAGGAGTAATACATGCTTCTGACATTACCCCCCTCTGAGGAGGGGTCCCCTGGACTCTTAAAGGCAAGCTTTATATTGGTCACTGGACAGTCAACCTGGGCATCAGGCACAGAACCATTCAGCTGGGCAATGGTCAGGGGATCAGCAAGTTCAGTTTGGTTAGCAGGCAGAGAGCCTGAGGAGCCAAACTGGACAGTAGACAAAGAACCAGTAACATCAAGCTGGATAGCAAGCGACTTGTCACTGGAGTCAAACTAGATAGCTGTAACACAGACTGGATGCAAAGTAGCTTGAAGAAGAGGTCGAGGGCTCCACCTGGCCAAATGAGGCAGTCTATCTAAAGGATGGCTGGAGCTGGAAGATTTGAGCAGGTGTAGTAGCAGCAAGGTGGGCCAGGATACTGAAAGTCCAGAATATGAAAAAGCAGGAGGCTTAATTGGCATGGAATGGACCGTAATAACTGGTATAGAAGCGGACTAGACCACATCGGCAGGTGTAGTGGCAGTAGAACAAGTTAGCCTGGATGTGCGTCCAAGGGAGTTTAGGGACAGGGAAAGGTAGGGGTAATCCAAAGGGCTTGACTTTTGATGACCTAGAGCGAGCACAGGTTTTTCAAGCTTTTACATAGGAATAGGAGTCCTTATGGAGAGAGGGCCACCAAAGCCCATGAGAAACCAAAGAAAAGGTTTTAGTAACCCCTTGGTGTCTAGCCAACTTGGAGTCATGTGCTTCTGAAAGCACTTTAAGCCTAAGGTTAAGGGAAACAAACAGCTTTTCTAGGATGTAGAGTGGGAAGAGCACTAGACTGAGTCTATAAAATAGAGTTCAGAAGGTCAGGGGAAAGGACTCCCATGACTTGTTCTGGAGGAATAATACTGTAAAACTTAGAGGACGTTTCCTAACAGGGCTCAAAGCTGTGTGACAAGGCATCCACCTTGGCATTATTAGAATCCAGACTAAAATTTTCCTGAACATAGGTTTTTATGACCTGGGTATCAGGTAGTGACAAAGAGTAAGTTGGGACTCTAGGAGTGGTAAGGTTTGTCAGGAAGTCTACTGGACAATCATATGGCTGATGAAAATGGAGAACAGAAGCAGTCTTTTCAGAAAACGTGTTAGCAGACTCAGCACAACAGGTAGGGAGAGCTTGGACTGTGAGGTGGGCCAGTAATTGGGTGGTGGAAATGCAATTCTGGAGGCAGACCTGGGACATGGACCTAATCTACCCTGTAGCCCAACTTTATGTATGGGTAATGACGTTTAAGACAAGGATAACCTTAGGTAACGGGATAGGAAGGAGAGGTTATTAAGTAGAAGCTAATTGTCTACCTATGAAATTTCACAGTGGTCAGAGTAATAGGTACAGTACACAAGGTGACCAGACTCATGGACAAGGGAGTTATCACCAGCTAACACTGAAAAGGGTTTGTGCACATTAGTCAAGGGAATCTTTAGATGGTGTGCTAGGTCACTGTTAATGAAATTTCCAGCGGCGCCAGAATCAATGAAAGCTGAGAGGTGATGAGAAAATGTGGTAAAACTTAGTTGCGCAGGTACAAATAGTTTGTTTCATTGGGAACCTTGAACTATTTTGTCTAGAACAGCAGACCCCACCCTTACTAAACTCTTTCCCGGCATTATTGGGGCAGATGGCGATAAAGTGGCTGTGGTCACCACAGTGTAAGCATATTCTCTGAGAGCTTCTCCTAGCTATTTTCCCAGAGGATAAATGAGTGGCACCTATTTGCATGACCTCCTCCTCCTTTAGGGGTTGAGAGAACCCAGGAAAGTCTGATGGAGAAGACGTGGACAGTGTACTAGGGTGTAAAGGAACAAACCTCTCTATACACCTTTTCGTAAACGCCGGTCTATGTGGATGGCAACTTGCATGGTTTCATTCAACAACTTTGGTTCAGGGTAGTGTACTAAAGAGTCCTTAATGGAGTCTGATAAGCTTAACTTGAAATGGCTTCTTAGAGCTGGGTCATTCCACCCTGAGTCAGGTTCCCATTGGTGGAATTCAAGACAGTATTGTTCAAATGTGCATTTACCCTGATGTAATGACCTAAGGTTAGTTTCTGCTGAGTGGGCACAGTCAGCATCATCATAGGGTAAACCCAGAGCCTTGAAAAATGCTTCAAATGACCCTCAGGCTTTATCATCTGTGGGTAGACTAAAAGCCCAAGACTGGGGCCCTCCTGCACCCATGAAGCAATCAAACTAATCAGGGAATTGTCGGGGAACAGGAGTGATACATGCAGCTTGGTCCTACTGGAAAACCAGCATTCAATCAGTGCTTGGAGCCAATGGCTGATCAGTGTGTTTTGACACACTGACACTTTCTTGAAAATAACTATCCTTTTCCTGATATGTTAGCATTATGATTTTAACCTCTTTTTCTGGGTAAATAAAATAAAAAAAAAAACTGCCAAAAAATATTAACAAATATAAAGGAAACCTGTATTGAAAGAAATATGAAGGCTGATGTTGTCATCTGAAAATATTCTGTAACTAGCTGCCATACTGACTATCTAGTGTTACTGACATGAAACAAATATGCAGATCAGGTGTTCATTCTAACTTGACATGCTGCAAACTAAAGCTTGGTATACACCGGGAGTTTTTTAATTCAACCCGGGGGTTGAACATCAAAAAAAAAACCTTCACATCCACACCAGGGATATGGATGCAGGGATCTCCCCTGCTGCTCTATTGTATTCTGGCAGCAGGGAATCCTCCCCATCAGAACACACAGAATAATGCTGCTGCCATTGGTTGCAAGCATGGATATAATGCTTGTTCTTCCAGCAGGACCGTTTGACATAATCCTGTTATTAGCAGGCTTCTATTGAACAAACAATGGTACACACAATGAAATTTGGCCAGTTACTGCTGAACCAGCTGTTTTTTGGTCTCTGTATAGCAGCCTTTAGTTTAGATCTTTGTCTCAGAACATTTTGAATACAGAGACAACCAGACAACGTCTGTTTTTAGAAATAGATCAACAAAGACAGTCTACATGTTTTACTCACTACAGTTTTCCTTTAATCTGTGAGATCTAAATGACAATGTTATTTGTGTAGGTAAGGGTCCATAATATAATATTATAAAAGATCAGGGTGGCTATGCACTAGCAAATGTCCCACTGAGAGTGACAAGGAATTTGTCATAAAAAAACTACAGAAACCTACTAGGATCTCCCTTCATTGCACATGTAGTGCATGTACAATAAAAATCATCCCTCTTTTCCTTCTTATGTATAGAAAAATATTTGTATACCTTCTGGTTTACTTCAGGCTCTAAATTGTGATGGTAATATATACCAATTCATACAGCAAAAATGCACAAACGAAAAGTATATACATCAAGACACGTAAAAGCTCATATGACCTTATGCAACAAATTTTGGGATACAGTACATTTATTAAATACTAATACAGTTTTTAGAATCCTCTTTATGAGTCGTTGGGTCTCTAGGAAGTACGTACGTACTTATGTAACTTACCTTCCAACATGATAAGATCAGCAAAAAAAATTTCAGGTTATTTTGTAGTTAATTTCATATATTATTAAGCTTGTCTGTGAAATTAACTGTGTTTCAAATATTTAATATAAATGATAAGTTATTGAAACTATAATTTGTGTTCAGTAGAACAACTGAGTAATACACATCTCACATATTAAAAATATTTTGTAGCAATATCTTTTGAATTTTTGCAGTATAACTTATTACTATAATTCAATATTCTTTTGTTTTACATTACAATTTCACTTGGCAAATGTATTTCCAAAAAATAAGAAAATACATCAGACCAGGGGCGGACTGACAACTCATGGGGCCCCCGGGCAATAGGGGATCATGGGGCCCCTGTGTCCTTGCCCAAACTCAAAAAAGCCTATGAAAAAGGTACCAGGGGCATCTCATGGGGCCCCCTACTGACCCCGGGCCCTCGGACAGTGGCCGAGTTTCCAAATGGTCAGTCCGCCCCTGCATCAGACCATGTCTTTTATAGTTCTGATTTTTCTCTCTTTGGAATTCAATAATTTCATATAATGCAGTGTGTTTTAAAAATATTCACATTAAGGACAAGCAAGGTAATAATGTTTTTCCCCAGGTGTTGCTTTT